ACTTTTTCTTTTCCCCCCCCCCCCCGCCAAACTCATCGCCGATAAACTTTCTTGCCGCGTTACGTACGTTTACGTCGGCAGCTTTTTAATTCGTCGGTTTGCCCAATGTAAATTGACCTCTCGCTAGGACTGTTAATGGTCTCGTCTGGCTGAGCAAAGGCAACGAAAGTTAAGTTAGCTGATACATACCACCGAGTAGAAGCATGGGCCAATTAGCATCGGTACAATTAATCCGAAGTTTCTACGAGAGTTTCTGCATTTCAGGAAATTGATGTACCCCGTATTCTACATAATAGGGGTATATCGAACAATCCTTATACAAATTGAATAAACATGTTCGAAATTTCGATTTCTATACCAAGTGATGACTATCCATCGAACTCCATACAGGATGAGGATACATGCAAGTTGCAATGTAATTTTGAGTTAAAATCCAAAAAAAAAATTTTTCGAAATTTTGACCACCCTATGGCTCACCATGTAACGTGCTATCCTATTCTTGTCCCTAAAGAAAAAACACGACTACCCGGTACCTACTGTCGCAGGTAAAGACAGACTTCCCGCTATTTCAGCAAACGCATCAGACGATTCTATAACTTGCGATGTCCTATGGAATATTAATTAATATTAATTAACTAATAATAATTATTAATTTCGATTTCTATAACAAGTAATAATTATCCATCGAACTCCATACAGGATGAGGATACATGCAAGCTGCAATGTAATTTTGAGTTAAAATCCAAAAAAAATTTTTTCGAAATTTTGACCACCCTATGGCTCACCATGTAACGTGCTATCCTATTCTTGTCCCTAAAGAAAAAACACGACTACCCGGTACCTACTGCCACAGGTAAAGACAGACTTCCCGCTATTTCAGCAAACGCATCAGACCATTTTATCGCTTGCGATGTCCTATGAAATATTCATAACGCAGCCTTTGACGCGTTCATCCCAATCGCCCTGGTTGTCGCATAAATTTAAGCACCGGGCCAAAATTCCACTCTGGATCCTTCCACAGCCACCGACCATCTTCATCCCTTTGTCATAGCCTCCCTATTTATCCTTTTCCTTGACTTCGTACCATTCGCTGTTTAGACTTTCCCAAAAAGTACGCCGATACTTCGCCTATACTCTGGAACCCTAATTCTTGTATGAAACGACCCCACCTAGTCACTGTATATAAACGCAGTTGGAGGCAGGTACCGTATTTATTTGAACGAAGGAAAAAAAAGAAGACTGAAAAAAGTTTCACGAGAAAATGGAAGAATATCGGGAGGTCGTGCGCTCGTGTTTTCCAGGAAGCAAGAGAGAGAGAGAAAAAAAATTAAGAAGGAAGATCGTGTATATAATATATACATCCGGAATAGAGACGGAAGAGAGAGTCTCCTGACCGTCAGGAAAACCGGCGTTTGCCTGTTTGGCTGAATAAAATATGTTTCTCCCCTTCTAAATATTCAGAGGACAGAGGCTCTCCGGGCTGAAAGTATATACCGGGTGCAAGCATATGAAGTGACACGAACAAATGGAACGCATAAAAGGGAAAAATGACCAGGACCGTCGGGACGCTTGTGCGGCTCCTGTATTTCCCTTGGGCTTTTCATACGATCCGTGCAACGCCGAAGCGAATACGCACGTACGTACCTATACTACGTACGCCAATAAAATTGTACACAATACGTGCCTTCGTCATTCCACGGTTTACTCGTAAACATCAAATTGCACCTTTCGACGAGTATACTATACACCTTCGAGACGTCACTGTCGTACGACTGCATGCCATTAAAAAAATACTTAGTTTCAAACTGTCAACCGGATCTAGCTGCTCCTGTATGCCTGTGGCTTATTCCCACTGTCTGTACAGTGTAATACTCACATTCGACATCCACGATGATCCTTTTGCTGACTGTAGGCGGGACGCCGTTCTTAGCGATGCACAAGTAGGCTCCCATCTGAGTCCTCGAAATTTTCGTCAAGTTCAGCTGTTCGCCGTCGTACATGACGACTGAAAAAAAGAAAAAAAAATTTATTTTTTCAGATTTAAATATTTCCCAACAAAATTTACATCTCGATTCTATGCAAATTATGCCTTCCCGATGCAATTCGAGTGCATTTATAAAATTCACGGTTTACCTTCTACGCGCGGTAGGTGCGTAGCCGGTACAGCCAAGGTAATTGAAAGAAGTGCGAAATGGCTATAGTCGCGTTATCGCGACTGCCTGCCTTCTTTTTTTTTTTCTTTTCTACGTATAGACACTGATCCTTAACGTACCGTTGCGCTCGTATGTGTATCTTTATAGGTTAGTGGGTCTGTGCTTTGACCCTGACGGGCGATTACCATTGCGAAAATGTGAGCTGCAAAGTTTTCTTTGAATATAAATCGTCTCCGTGCCGCGTTGGATCAACTTCAGCGGACAATTTACGATTAAAGTTTCTGAAGCTCGTGAAGCCTTAAGTGGGCGGGAGCGATTGTAACGCGCGTTTCCAAAGTACGAGCCATAAACGGTTAAGAGCGCTCGTAATAATAGCGGAAGTGGGAAATGAATCCGCGGTCCTTGCAATTATTTTAAGCTGCGAAACTCCGCCAATTACCTTTTCCAATGTAGCAGAAAAGTAACCTTCGTATAAAGTCTCGCGGTTGGGCTTCGAATCAGCGTAACTTACGTGTACGGTATACGTGTTAAATGTCAATGAGGCTCGGTTATAATGTCCGAAAAAAAAAAAAAAAAAAAAAGAAAAAAAA